TGCGCATCGGGTCTGTATTACATAAAATTATAGGAAGGAGAGTTTGGTCAGGATATCTAGGGAAATTGGATCCACTTTTCTAGTTTTATGTCCTTGTCATAACCCTTTTTTTCCATGCAGACTCGCTATACTATGGGCATTTACGGCCACCTCTGTCATTGAAAGATACTTACCATTTAATTAAATATAACTAGTTAGGTTAACTAATATTTGAAAGCGATTTGATGCAATTGTTTAAAGATCAAATAAAATAAACTTTGCAATAAAATTCAAATCAATAAAGTAATAATTCTTGCTATTGTTTACAATTATTAATATGCGACAAGATACCAGAATTAAAAGTTTAGGCCAAAATACATAACCGATACCAATGAATGCTGCATTATAATTATTTATTTACCAGGTTAATGAAAGCAGCACCATTCCTCTTGAGTCTCCCCCAGCATAGTCCCCTTAGGAACACTGAGCCATACCAACACAGTCTTCCCAGGGGCCATAGAAACATACTACTGCTAGCCTCCCAGCAATCTGCAGCTAAGGAGCCATTATTACTTTTAGTAGTTTAGTTTATTTTAATTCTAAAATTTATATTTAAGTGTGCATATACTGAGGGAGTCAATAAATCCCACACAGGGTGGACGTTATCACCCACCCCTTACACTGGCTCAGGACGAGACATAATATACAGTAAGCTGGCCTCTATGGGCTAAACTTCCGAACCCACCAGTGAGGTCACTCTGTCAAGGCAGTAGTAATGTCAAATTAATGCCTAGGAAAGGGCTGCCTTAAGACACATGCAGCTCGAAGCATAACGTAACCAAAGTCCACACAACGAGTGAGGAGTGTAAACACATGCACGTGAAGCAAACACGAAACCTGGAAACAATACACAATAACACAGGCAAATGGCCCGCCCCACGACAGTCGAAAGAATGGCCAACACTTACCTAGAAAAAGCTGGTACTTTCCAAGGCTGGCGACTCAAGGACTACTAACTCACACAGGTGGACATCAGCGAAAGGACTAAGTCGTATTGACATGGGAGCGGGTAACTCCCGGTGGTGCTGTCACCTAGCTGTGATCAGCTATAACTAGTGGAATTCGAACTGACCACCGTTTGCTGCTTCACTTCTTGTATCTCTAATACGTAAAGTTGTTTATTTGGCTTCACATACTTCTTGGTGAAGGTGATCGTAATAATCCCTTATGGGTAAAAGGGGCTACTGTGAAAATTAAATTGTAAAGAATCAATACGGTTATTTCCTTGTGTCCAGTGTGAAGAGGCTGACATACTCTGAACAGGTTAATTTGTGGTTACTCTCCCTGGGTCTCACCTTAGCTGAACAGTATAAAACACATAAAACAGCTGGTACGGTACCCTTAACATATTTCTTAAGGCCAGCCAAGAGTTTAGACAGCTAAAAGAACAAGTGTTTAACCAGCGCTGAAAAATTTTTGCGAGGCATCAGTAATGCAACATCCTCCATCCCGTCCTCTTAAGGTTTTCAACGTCAAGAAACTGTCGTACTAAAGTTCCCTTATCCTAACCTACCAGAGGACCCAAAACAGAAAACGGGATAGTATGTCAATTTTGAGAGCCGCTATCATTTTTTAGAATGATAATTTTTGGCCTGTTGGATCGTCATTGTAGCAACAATGACGATCCTGAAAACACAAGCCTTTTCGTATTAGGATGCAATATAGAGGCAGCTATTTATGGCGACATTTGCTGGTAGATACAATGGTGGCTACATTAATAATGGTCACAATAGTGGTGGATACTGTAATGTTGGACGCATCAGTTTAACTGAGCGATGTGCAAGAGGCGATGGAGTTGATACAGATTACTTACAACTTCAAGAGAATCCTGCCAATGGTTCTGGCGGCTGTAGCCTCCGCCGGGATGAGCCAGAGTCATATCAAATTGATAGTGCACCGCCTCGGATGTATTATGACCCAGGGTGTGGAGAGCATCGCCCTTCTTGCAGGTCACCAGGACCCTTCTCACCACACCTTGGGCTCCTCGCCTCACTGGTGGTAGCAAACGTCTAGGCATTTATGAAGGCTCTCAACCGGTGCCCCCCTATAGCCCTGAGGAAGCATTCAAAAGTGCTTAACCAGCAATGATAAACAACAAAAAATTAGGCGGCTCCTTCATCCAGTGGTTATTGAACTTAACGTTATATCTGGAGTGGGTTCTAGGAATTCTTCTACTCCCCAAGCCCGACCTGGGGCCAGGCTTATCTTGTTAAAACTTGGTTTAACAGGCTATTGCTTGGAGCCACCCACAGGCCCACATATCCACTACAACCTACAAGTCATACTTCATACAACCTGTGATTTCAGTAGGAAATCCTGAAGTCTGGAGGTCCCTCCTGAAGCCAATCCAAGTTTTACGCATGGGCCCCTAAGCACTCAGGTGAAGAGCACAGTAGTTCAACACTGTATGCCTATCTTGTTAGAGTGCGTATTCTCTCTTATTTAATAACATTATTGTGTGCAACTCTAGTCTTGCCCCCGTTCGTAGCAGTTTTTGTAATTTATATTTTTTTAAATAGTTTAAGGATCATTAGCTAATGCAGTTAACAACTAGAAAATGTAGGGTTTTGAACATGGTAGATATTAGTGAAGTGACCAGATGTAAGGTTAGTAACATTGAAGCTGCTAATCCGAGAGTAAGAATCTTGATGTGGCTCTTGATCTAAGGAATCGATGTATCAATTTTCACAATAAGGCAAATAGAATACCAGGACTTATCTGGCAACATTAAGACATTTAATGTGTGCAACTCTACCTTGCCTGTGTTAGGCCCAATTTAGATAATGATGCTCAGTTTTGGCCACTAGTACAAGATGGGCACAAGTTCACTGGAACATGTACAGATAAGGATGAAAAAGTTAATTTTACGAATTAGTAAACTTCCTTATGAAAGGATTTTAAACTTAATATACATTATACATAAAGGCAAGGACTATGAAGAGACATGAGTGAAACAAAAAATATGAAAGAATAACTAACTCATCAATGTGCAGGCCATGAGTCACAATAACGTGGCTGAAGTATGTTGACCAGACCACACACTAGAAGGTGAAGGGACGACGACGTTTCGGTCCGTCCTGAACCATTCTAAAGTCGTTTGTGACTCGAGAATGGTCCAGGACGGACCGAAACGTCGTCGTCCCTTCACCTATTAGTGTGTGGTCTGGTCAACATAACTCATCAATGAATATTAGAAGGCTAAATAAATCAACCAATTAATAAAAAACATAACTGATATACTTTGTATGTTTATTCTAGGAAAGACCTGGGTAAATACTGGCTTGGGAATACAAGTTTTATTTATAGAAGAAATTACTAGGTAATGTAAAAGCAACCCGTTCTCGCACTTTCGTATAGTCAACATTGACTTATTAAATACGTGCATATGTGACATACTAATTTATTGTGAATATTTTAGTTTACCTTGAAAAGCTTCATAGAAAACACCGACCTTACCTAACCTTCTTAGTATGTTAAGATAAGCATCTTATTGCTTCGTAATTACAATTATTACTTAATCTATTATAGGTATAGGTTAAGTAATAATTGTAATTACGAAGCAATAAGATGCTTATCTTAACATACTAAGAAGGTTAGGTAAGGTCGGTGTTTTCTATGAAGCTTTTCAAGGTAAACTAAAATATTCACAATAAATTAGTATGTCACATATGCACTTATTTAATAAGTCAATATTGACCAAGAAAGTTCGAAAACGGGTTGTGTAAAAGGCACTGGATTGCTGGATTATTTCAATGTAATACTGAAATTATATACAGTAACTGAAATTTAAAGACAGACAGAGATAGAGACAGAGAGAGAGAGAGAGACAGAGAGACAGAGACAGACAGAGAGACAGACAGACAGACAGAGACAAACACAGATATTGTGAGTACGGAGAAACTTAGTGTCCTATATTCTACTGAATCTGACTAGTTTGGTACACTGCTAATTTTTAGTATCGGAGGTGTTTTGAAGCAGGATAGTGGGGAACGAGGGTCTTGTAAGAGGCAAGGTGGTGAGGTGTCCCACAAGATGTAGGGGGAGACAAGGTGTCCCACGAGAGGCAGGGGGACGAGGTGTCCCATAAGAGGCAGGGGGCCAAGGTGTCCCGCGAGAGGCAGAGGGGTGATGCAGAGTTCACTCGCACTCTGCTCATGTATTTTTTATCCTTCCCCCTCAAGACGTTGCTGCTTCATAGGAGTTTCCCCTCGGTGTTGACAAGTGGCCCCGTCTTTCCCTGTCCTCGCCAACTGTCTCCCACCCACAGCACACTCCCAAACCCATCTACATTGTCCTGTAACAGCTTGGGGTTCTTCCCATATCATTTATTGCCCCCATCCTTAAGTCACCCATATACAACCTAGAAATCCACCAAGCATGTAACCGTCCAGCCCAAGTGGTTAGAGGATCATACCACCGTCCAGCCCAGCCACTTGGGGGTGGACGGTAGTGCATCCTGGAGTAAAATATGAACAACCTTCTGGGCCTCCCACAATGTTTCCTACTAAAGCACAGTACACTCAAGATGAAAAAAAAAATTTGTACTCGTCACTTCACTAGTTATTCACCGTCTCATAAGCGCCTACATTTTTTATCCCCCACACAAACTCTTACGAAAAATCAATCCCACAGGTCCAGGAGATACTAACCCATATGAAGACATTGTTCCCATACCACTTTTCATTTACATACCCCTGTTATTGTGTCTACTGCTTACAAGACATTTGATATATCCCACTATTTCTAACCTAGTGTTCTTCCTTAAAACACAATTTGTTCCATCTTATTCCACACAGCTATGCAAACCAACCTTTGCTTCATTGGGTCTGAGCAGATTAAAGTCCAATAACCAACTTTTGTACCTATGGCTTTACATTTTTTTGGGGGGTGGATGGGGAGGTGAAATAAGGTCTTATCCAAGCCAAATCCTCAACCCTTAGGTAATTAAATAAAACCTCGAGTAAAATTTTTCAGTACAGATACTGTATATTTAATTAGCCAATTCACACAAGTTAGGTACTGCAGATCAGCACCGTAAGCTTGGCCAAGATACACATTGCCATGGGGTTACAAGTTCCACATGAGAACTTTCTGAATATCATTATGCTGGAGCGAGCCAAATGGAAAGATGAATACTGTAATTGCAATAATGAATTCTACTACCGTGTTGTCAAAACTGGCAAGCTGATGGATAAATGTTAATACTGAGTAACTATTCCCATTGAATACATATTACACATTGGAATACCTACTATCTACTAAAATGGGAAGCAAGCCTCCATAACTGTTACCATGGTTACCTTTTCCCACATTCAAAGCATAATGATGCACTAGTTTTGTAAATATTTTGGTTACTCTTGACCAATATACTTGCTAAATGAAAGGTTGATAAGATCAGTAGCAAGATCTTCAAAAATTAACATGCACAATTAAGCTTCAATATTATTTAGAAATGTGTTAATTTAAAATTTGAAGGTAAAAATAAAAAAATTTCAGAAGTCGGTTCTCGATACATATTAAAATCACGTCCAACTCAATACTGCATAAAACCTACCAATTAAATTCAATAAAAAGGAACCAATTAGTATAGTATAAAACCTTGCATGGGGAATGTGCCAACAGTTGCACATCTGATTTCCCTAATAATTAACAGTTTACAATGCAAGTAACTATACTGCAAATTTTATTAGCTAAAAAATTAATAGCCTAATGCATTATCGCATTGTTATTCTTCCCATTTCTGCCAATATCTACCGAAAGGTACTTTAAAAAACAACTTGATTCACATTTCTCCAACATTAATGATGGCTAGCTGAGCCAATTGCTCCTCCAAGAGAGTATTGTCAAGATTAGCAGCACAGGTGAAATACACTGTGCTTGTAATCGAGACATTGTTTTCTGCCTCTCGCAAGCTGGTGCTGGAGCAATTGCCCAAAATGCAAGTTTCATCTACTGAAGTAAACCTCGAAGACCTGCCCATATGCTCCTCCAAGTACAGCCTGCAACAAACAAAACTGTCAGACAACTAAATTCTTGCAATCTTAGATTCTTTTTATACTAATTATATTCGAGTCATAATTTATCATTAGACGGCATACAAAGGAACATGTTACAGGGGTTACTTAATTGTTTGAGTAATTGTATATAAAACCACTAATTATACACTTTTTTGTACACACAAGCCAGGTTTTCAAAACTTAAATATTCTCCTTTGTTATGCTTACCAAATACTTATTTATCAAGGGCTACATTTTTTAAGTTTAAAATGGTTTGCATTTTTTTTACATTAAGAATAGACAATTTGCATTTATTAACATTTTCACTGACGACACTAAAATGTATCGTCCAACTGCTAAATTTTCAGTTTTCAGTTCCCAAGCTATTCTATTTGCATGAACCAGTCTGAAAACTTATGAACATTGCTGTTATTGTGGACAGTGCATATCTAGGGCATGATTTGTACCAAGAAGAGCTTCTAGCTCATCCATAAGGCCTCAATTGAGACAAACATTTGTATATTCATTGCCGTCGCTTTTTTCCTTTTAGACTAGAGAATTCATGTGTGAACATTGATAAATTTCTAGTTATAAGCAAACAATTAACTCTGAAAACACAATGACTGTAAATATCATACGCATCATTGAACAGGGCCCTGGGAAGCTCAAAACATTTAGTCAAGAATGTGTGGAGAAGCCAAACTGCCAGTGATAATTTGTTTCATTAGAAAATTTTTATTAAGTGCAAGAAAACCATTTAATGAAGATTGAAGTGCGACAAAAGTAACCATTGCAAGAAAGTAATCATATTGAATACCAAATTATTCACTTGTATGAAACTTATGTGAAGGGGAGAATGTAGGATTAAAGAATACCAATTAATATACATCAAAGATTAAGACTTACCAAGTATGATATGGAATTACAGTATGCACTTTAGGTAGTGGGAAGCCATTGAAAGTACCAGCAGCAGCAAGGGTGTAAGCTCCCATCTCTGGCCAAACCAGCCAATCTCCACAAGAAAGCCTTGGTAGATCAATTTTAGACACTACCTGATCTAAGCCATCACAGGTGGGTCCCCAGATAGAGCTTGTGAAGCAAGGCTCATCAGATGCTGGTTCCTGCAATATCAATTTACCAGAGATTAAATTAGGTCATACATTTTCAAGAACCTATTAAAACAATTTACTTCAACTATATAGGAATATACTTCAGGTAAAAACAAAACCTAATGGTAGAAACTAAAAACCATGTACTGTATTTCATAACCAAGAATATACATAACTTAAAATTTCTAAAATTTCCACAATTTTATAAAAGTAATTATCAAAAGGAGGCACCAAGCCAGGAAGATTATGTAGCACCATAGAAGTTGCAGAATAATCAAAAGGCGCTAAATATCCCTAAGGATGCCAATACGAGAACAAAATTGCACAGAGCGGGCAATAACAAAGGCATCAGATTCACCAAGGATTGAATTCTATTGAGGGGACAGGTGGGAAGCAAGACACGTTCTGAAAGTTGGGACATTCAACAAGGATATTCACAGCTGCAATTTTACACAGTACAATTAGATCAGTTCGGCTGATAACATGGCCACATCCAGATGGTGGCTTGAGTGAACAATTCTCACCGAAACAAAAATTGTCCCCTGAACAATTTGCACTGAACACAGTTTGGACATCCTGGAATGCCTTACAATGGCAGTTCGTTACAAAAAGGACCCCCACTAAAAGGAGGGGACATTACTGGAGTAAATATACAAATGGACAAAAGGGTGTAACATAAGGGGTTATTAACAGTACTTTATATATCAACAATGCTACAACCAATAAATACAAAATTGGTCAAATTTAGGGAAAATAACTGGGGTACAGATTTGTAATTCGGGTCGAAGATTTATCGAACAGGTTGATGGGCAACATCACAGTTGCCAGATTATCTCAAACATATTAGACACACAAGTGGGTGTGATTGTGAATAAACAAGCTCTGCATTCCATAGGCTAATAGGCCTTTTACAGTTAACTTTATTAATATAGTGTTTATATTGCTACAGTATGCTTAATTACTCAAATAGCAATATTTTGGTACAACACTTAATATAAATTCATAATTTTTAACTTTGTACTTTACACCCAATTAATTTTATTACATTAAAAGTATATTCTTTATAATTTAATGATTTATAATGCAGGTTACATACCTCAACTAGAACTGGATACACTTTCTGATGATCGTAAATGGTGCAATTGAAGGAGCCATACACACCATCGTTGATGTAGTACATGGTGGACACCAAAGACCCATTATCATCATTGATGTCTCTCTTTGCCAAGATGTTTGTAGCCAAAGTAAAGGCAGATGCCACTACATAGCGGCCAGGTTCTGCAATTATCTAAACCAAAAAATATAACGTGACACTTTATGAAATGGAGGGAGAGAATATACAATTTAATTAAAAATACTTAAGTTTTCATTAACTATTGTAAACTTTAATACTAAGAATTTTAACATTCGGATACAAAGGCAAGAATCTTATTTATACAGAAATAAACCAATTATAGTAAATAGACAACTATGCAGTGGGATCCAAGATCCAGACCATAAAATAAAAGAACCTTTAGATAGAAATACATATTATCCACTAAACAAAAACTTAGGAGGTACACAAATCTTTGGCATTTTTTAATATTTAACAAGTTTTGTCTTTACAGTATTAATATATATTACTAGAAAAATACTCTTAGTCTTTAGAAATTATAACTATTCTCTTGGGACTAATACCACCCCACACCGAGTGTTTCTGTAACAAATACTTACTATAAAAACCCAGAAAGCATTACATACAGTACTTTGTCGCACTAACATGGTGGTAGGCATCCAGCAGTCTCAGGAGACTATGGAGCTGCACTCTGGTTGTCGAGGCTGGAGTGTCCTCTCCAGAGCACAAAGCCTGGGTAGGTCAATATGGAGAAGCCGCCGTTGCCAATGCAGCAGGTCCCCCTCCTCTCCACGTTGCTGAAATTGTCCAATGGAAAGGCAAACGCCAATATGCTTGGTTCCAGCGCCGTCGCAGGAGCTGCCAGAACGAGGCTGAAGTCTACAACAAAACAGCCTTAAGGGCTCCAGCTCCGGATTTTTCCTCCAGGTTGACTCCTGAGGCCCGTCTGAAAAGTGGGTATGGCTGCAAGGCAGCGGAGGTTTGAGATCAGGGTTTTCCTTCCCCTAGATGAGTCGCCTTCCCAGGCTGTCGAGTCCCACCTACCTGGAGCAGCTGGTTGTACGGCACCAGAGCCATGGGCTCGTGCGCGAGGACCTAAAGAGCTTTCCCTGGTACTATTACTGTATCAGGCTGGTAGCCTTGCTGAGGGCCCTGTAGAACCTCCCAGGAAGAGGAATGGAAGTCCTCTGGGAACCACACACAACAATGCACAACTCAAACATTACAACAATATTAGAATAATATTGTATTATAATATAAAAAATAAATTTATTATTATAATATTAAATATTGTAATGTAATATTCGAGTCGAGTGTCGTCTTTTGTGGTGGTCGTGTGTTAAGGTTGTGTTGTGCACTAACATTACTTAATACTACAATTAAGAATTTTACACTGTTGTACTTAGTCTGGTAAAAAATAATTGGGGAAAAACTTAAGCTTTAGCATCCCAAAAAACTACCTACCGGTAAGTTCAGTAATTCCACATGCCAGAATTATCAACCATTCTGTTGGAAGGGAGTCTATTTAACCAATTAAACCTGTAGTAATACAACCATGAATTGTGCCCTCACCTTCACTCCACAGTCTTCAGGGAAAAATTCATCTAGTGCCTTGTTGATATAGGAAGCTATTTCATCCAGGGAAGAGTTGCGCGTCCCTGGGAACCCACCACCAACATCTAGCAAATTTGGAGCAAATCCTAAGGCTTCTGCTTCATTAAAGACCTAAGAGAGAAAAAGCAATTTATTTTTTCAACTAATTTACCCACATGCTTGTGTTTTAGAAAATTTAAATGTAAACAAGTGGAGGAGGTTGGGCCAAGTGAGAAAGTATTGGATGCCAAAACCATCAGCAGTTTCAAAGTGTTATTTGAGAAATTATTGGGTTGATGGGACACGAGCGTAACTTAACTACACTTGGGTAATTACACTACCAGTGCTCAGTGAAAATTACTACAGTAAACAAATTATAAATGCACTAGAAAATTCTGCACATTGCAAATACCATTGCAGGGCACAGACTAACTTCACTTTAATAGTTTGTTACTTGTAACATGCAATTCATCTGCCCATTTTCAGTAAATCAACCTTTTTTGTAGATTATTTCTTAGATTTTAAATCAGTGATAAAGATCCAAGTAACTAACATCAATTATCTTGTATAGTATATTTCTTACTTTTTTAGCAGCTGCAATTGCACGGTGGAAAACAGCAGGCTCACAACAACCCGAGCCAACATGAAAAGAAACTCCCACGATGTTAAGATCCAGTGATCTAGCCGTGGCCAAGAGCGCCCCTGCATCTTCTGGGAGTACTCCAAACTTCATACCCAATGGGCACTGCACTTTGGCAGCATCACAGCGGATACGTAGAACAAGCCTGAATTAAAACTTTAGTTCAGCTTCAAAAGATATTTGAACATTTTAGAATAATGCTACTGCTCAATTACCTATACAAGGAAAAACAATTACATTAACTCATTGATAAGGTTCTTTCTATGTTGATTTAACCAATTCAACCACTGACAATTACAGCACCTACACTGTACAGTGAAGTACAATACTCTTTCTTTGGTATGAGAATATATAATGTCAAGAATTTATTTCAACACTACTAAAAAATTATTGCAAAATCATTCTTTTGGAAGCTCGTAGCTTTCATCACCCTATATGCATGTACACATTCAAGACTATACTCACTGAGCACTAGGGTAGTATGCCTTTACTTTATGGAGTTCCGTTTCATTGTCAAAAGTCATCAATGGTATATTGAATTTCGACGCTTGGCGCAAGTGGGACACAGGCTTGCATGGATGGGCGTAGATAATTCGTGATGGCTCCACTCCTGCCTGCAACACCTTCTGCATCTCTGCCTAAATGGGTTGTTTGTATGAATAAACATGTAGAGGAGGAAGAGGGTTGGGTGATGGGGACGGAGGGTGGGGGGTTGCAATGTACAGACCTAAATGGAAGGGTGCTTTCCACAATCCACCGATTGTGATAAGATTCCCAATTGACAATTTGGACAATTTAAACCATCACATTTGTGGGCGACCTGGACCAGTATCTCGACTTCAGTTTTGTATCTTCTCAACTCGCATTCCAGGTTCTTCCCTTGATCCCATCATAACTTTACCTGCACGACGCTGCTTTCGACAGATCCAAGTGAACAGTCTACTTGCACATCCTGGCTTTAGGACGCTCTAGAACCAGTACACCACTCGATTGACAGAGGCACGAGACCAAAGAGCCAAAGCTCAACCCCTGCAAGCACAACTCGGCAAGTACAGTGTACTGGCCAGCCCTCCACTGAAGAGCTAAAAATAACAATGGAATGCCTTGCTCCAGTGGGATGCGAGGAACCAGGCAAACGTCTTCACCCATGACATACTGTAACTTCAGTACCGGTACATTCTTCACTGCCAGTGACCAAGCCTTCTAATCAGTTATGAATTTCTTACAGCTGCTGCATAGCAGCTAAGGCCAAAAACAAAGCTTAGAACAGATTTAAAGGCATCCCTCATCTTAACAGGAACATTAATTACTGTATATAACTAGATCATTTATGAAAGTGATTCAAAAGTAAGATATCTACACGAGAACCAGAAATTGGACAAGTTACATCAGGACGAGCTTGATCCAAAATTTGGTCATCTCCGATAAAGTATCAGTAACAATACTCATCCGAGGGCAAAATACCACCATTAGATGGGAAAGATGGTACCGTTACAACCAGTAATCGGGAAAAGGCTGCCCTACTAGAAAACCATTTTTGCTCCTGTAGCAACTATATTAAGAGAAATAATTGCTCCATATTCTCAAGTTTCATAATTGGTAATTAGACATCCCTGATAATTCCACAATCTATCCCAAAGAATTCCACATTCCAAGAAGTTCTACATTTATCCTATATGCACTAATTACAATTAATATTTCTTCCCATGGGTACAGAACCAATTAGGCCAGCTGAGAGGTAATCTGCAAAATTTTAGTCACCTTGGCAAGTCAGAAATGTGCAAGTAAGTAAGTAATTATCAAAAGAAGGCACCAAACCGGGAAGGCTATGTAGCACCATCAAATACGCAAAATAATCAGAGGGCGCTAAATATCACCAAGGATGCCAATACGAGAACAAAAACGCATAAGGCGAACGATATCAAAAGTATCCGAGTCACCAAGAATTCTATTGAGGGACAGGTGACCGCGAGGGGCGGTCGGAAAGCAAGACACACGCTCGTCCTGGAAGTCAGGACATTCAAGAAGGACATGCACGACCGTAAGAGGGACAATGCAACTAGGACAATAAGGAGCAGGGCGGCGCTCCATCAAGTGACCATGGGTTAAGCGAGTATGGCCAATACGCAACCTCGCTAGAGCTGTTTCCCACCGCCGGTTACGGTGGAAGGAGGACGGCCACGAGGAAACACAACATTTAAGAGTACGTAGCTTGTTACCAGTAACAGACAACCAAGAAGCCTGCCAACGGGTAAGGACTGAGGAATGGATAACCGGGTAAAAGTCGGAATACGGAATGCCTTTACGAGAGATGGGACAAGAGCGGACAGCTTCCTTAGCGGCAGCATCCGCACGCTCATTTAAAGACACGCCAATATGGCTGGGAACCCAACAAAACTCAACCGACTTAAATTTACTGTGAACGAGAAACAGCCAATGCTGGATCTCGACAACTACCGGATGAACTGGATTAAAGCACCCGAGAGCCATGAGGGCACTACGAGAGTCAACAACAACCACAAAGGAAGACTGACAACGAGAAAGCAGGAGACGAAGAGCATAGAGAATAGCATAAAGTTCCGCTGTAAAGATGCTAGTCTCCGGAGGCAAGCGACACATATAAGTGCGATCAGGAAAAACAACAGAGTAGCCAACACCGTCCGCTGACTTAGACCCATCGGTGAAGACAGAAACGGAGCGGGAGTGAGAAGAAAAGTGCTCGAGGAAAAGGCGTTTGAGAACTGTAGGAGGGGTAAAAGCTTTAGTGATGCGAGTCAAGGATGTACAAAACCGCGGAAGAGGGACCCTCCACGGGGGCAAAGAAGGAACAACACGAGGAGAAACATCAGAAATACGAACGGAAAGAGAATCCTGCAGGCGAGATAACCGGACAGAAAGAGGGAGGTGGTGAAGAGGAACAGGAACCGCAGGAGGGGTAAAAGTTAAAGCACGACAGAGACGAGAGGAAGGATGTTGCAAGGACCGCGCAAGATACCGAAGACAGTAGCGATCACGGCGGTCCTGGAGAGACAGGAAGCCAGTGTCAACATACAAGCTAAGGACGGGAGTCGAACGAAAGGCACCAGAACTGAGGCGCAACCCAGTATGGTGCAAAGCATCAAGACGGCGAAGAGTAGAAGGAGAAGCAGACGAGTAAGCAGGGCAACCATAATCGAGCTTAGACAGGACGAGAGAGGAATGTAAAGCAAGGAGAGTGCGCCTATCTGCCCCCCAAGAAGTATGGGACAAGACCCGAAGGAGGGTAAGGGACTTAGAGCACTCAACACGGAGGTAAGAGATATGGGGAGACCAAGACAAACGAGTGTCAAGGAATAACCCCAAAAGCTTCGCGGAATCTTTGTATTCAAGGGGATGACCATAAAGTGACAAAGAGGGACGAAGAACAACCCGTTTCCGCGTAAAAGTCATGGCACAAGTCTTAGAAGTAGAGAACTTGAAGCCATGACCTGTGGCCCAAGACGACACGGCATCAATCGCAAGTTGAAGCCGGCGTTGAAGGAGAGGCGAATCATCACCCTGACAACAAAGGGTAAGATCATCGACATAGAGAGCGGAGAAGACACCAGAAGGAAGAGAGGAAAGAAGACCATTGAGGGCAACCAGAAAAAGAGTAGTGCTCAGAACACTACCCTGGGGCACACCTTCGTATTGCTGAAAAGGGGGAGAGAGAGCGGTACCAAGGCGCACCCGAAAGGAACGACGAGAGAGGAAGCTGCGGAGAAAGAGAGGGAGATGACCACGAAGGCCAAAAGAATGAAGTTGAGATAGGATATGATAACGCCAAGTGGTGTCGTAAGCCTTTTCTAGGTCAAAAAGGACGGCAACAACGGAGGTCTTCGCAGCAAAAGCAGTACGTATATAGACCTCCAAGTTCACCAGGACATCTGTCGTGCTGCGGCACTTGCGGAAACCAAATTGAGAAGGGGAGAGGAGGTGATGGTGTTCCAGGAACCACATCAGACGAACGTTAACCATACGTTCAAAGAGTTTGCAGACACAACTTGTGAGAGCAATAGGGCGAAAGTCCTTAGGGGAAGTACCCAGAGACCCTGGTTTGCGAACAGGGAGGACAACGGCATCGAGCCAGTCCTCAGGGACTGACGACGACTCCCAGATCCGATTATACAGACTCAGTAAATACTGAGACGTGCTCGGAGGGAGATGGCGAAGCATCTCATAATGAATACCATCGGAGCCCGCCGCCGTAGAACCGCAGAGGGCCAGGGCAGAACGAAGTTCAGAGAGAGAGAAGGGATCATTATAGGGAAGCTGAAGATGAGTGCAGAAATCTAAAGGACGAGACTCAAGGACAGGTTTACGAAGAAGGAAAGATTGGGGAAGATGAAGACCAGAGCTAACAGAAGAAAAGTGGGAACCCAGTTCGGAAGCGACCTGCAACGGGTCCGCCACAAGAGTATCATGGAGGTGAAGGACCGGTGAAACATCGGGAACGAACTTACCCGCTATCTTGCGGATACGCTTCCAGATCTGGGCCAGAGGGGTTTCGGACGTAATTGTCGAGACATAAGAAGCCCAACATTCACGTTTAGCCGTACGGATGGCCCTACGGGCCACCGCACTCGCTTTCCGAAAGAAAAGAAAAGAATCGGTCGTCTGCCTACGGCGGTGCTTCTTCCAGGCTGCACGCTTACAGCGGACAGCCCGAGCACAGTCCGCATTCCACCAGGGAACGCACTTCCGTGGACCCCGAGAGGAAGAGCGAGGAATAGAGCGGAGGGCAGCGTCGAAGACAGTGTCATGAAAAAGGAGGAGAGCGCGAGAGAGGGGCAGAAGGGAGAGGTCAGAGAGAGTAGCACTGAGGGAAAACAGGGTCCAGTCCGCCTTAGCAAACTGCCATCTAGGGAAAGAGAGGGAAGGGCGAAAAGAGAAAAAGGAAACAAGGATGGGGAAATGATCACTTCCATGGAGGTCATCAAGAACCTGCCATGTGAAATCTAAGTAAAGAGAAGAAGAGCAGAGAGAAAGATCAAGACAAGAAAGGGTGCGAGTTCGAGAGTCCAAATGAGTGGGCTCACCAGAATTCAGAAGAGACAGGGAAGAAGAGAGGAGAAACGGCTCAAGGAGGCGACCCCGGGTATTCGTCAGAACGTCACCCCAAAGAGAATGACGACAATTGAAGTCACCCAGCAGGAGCACAGGCTCCGGCAAGGAGTCTAGGAGGTGTTTCAAATCAGGAAGAGAGAGCGGGACACTCGGGGGGAGATAAATGGAACAAACTGTGTACCATTTCCCCACAAAGATACGAGCAGCAGAACAATGGAGAGGCGAAGGAAAAAGTAAAGGAACAAAGGGAACATCAGCCCGAATCAAGAGAGCAGAAGAATTAGAAGCCCCAGCAATGGCTGGGGGGGGGAGAGAAAGGAATAGCCACGAAAACGACCAGGACGAGCACCAAGCATCGGCTCCTGGAGACAGACACAAAGGGGCGAAAACCGCGAAACCAGAAGTTGGAGTTCGAGGAAATTGGCGTAATAACCTCGAACGTTCCATTGAAGAATGGACAACGACGAGAAGAGAAAGGACAAAAACAGAGAACAAGGAAGAAACAAAGGCGAAAGACCAACAGAGCACGTTAAAGAATATCAGGGTCGGGATCAGGGTCAGCAAAGTCAGGGTTAGGGGGCATGGGTAAACTGAGCAAAGACGGAGGGAAGGAAACGGGAGAACAGATCAGAGGTGGGCGGGCAGGGTCCGGAGGAGGAGGAGGAGGAGACAACGGAGAGGAGCAGTCAAGGACAGCAGCAGGAAGAGGGGGAGTAGAAAGAGAGGAGAGCACCCCAGCAAGAGCAGCAACCGAAAGGGAAGCAGGGGCCAAAGAAACCTCCATAGCAGGAACAGGGGGCGCAAGCACTGAAACGGGAGTGGAAGGAGCAACAGAGCCAGAAGGAGGAGCTGAGGAAGAAAGCGAAGCCTTCTTACCCGCCGGGGAAGAGGAAGGAGAGGAGCCAGGTTTACGCTTCTGACTTAAAGAGACCGGTGTCCCAGCAACTACGTACCGGGCAACGGATTCCAGTGTCTCAACAGGAGAAGCCGAACGAGAGCACACACGACGGCCGTTAGGAGAGCGATGGACATCCGCCCGCACCGACAGGCGGCGGGGAGAGCCGATAGATGGAGGAAGAGGATGGGAAGGAGGATCGGAGGGGGACGAGGAAGGAGACACAGAAGACACGACAGACCGGGTAGAAGGAAAGGGAACCCCAGACAGAGGACCAGGAGGAGGATCCTTCGGGAGAGAACCCAAAGGGACAGAGGAGGGGGCAGTGGGCGCATCAGGGTCCAAGGCCTGGAAACGGTTGTGAGTCTGAGGAAGGCGGGAAGGACGAGGAGAGGAAGAGCGCAACACGCGAGCATAAGAGATATTAGCATAAGGCGGGAGCCGGCGAACCTGGCGCCTCGCCTCAGGAAAAGATAAACGCTCCCGGTGCTTCAAGTTGAGGACGGCTGCCTCAAGCTTGTAATGGACACACGCACGGGAGAAGGTAGGATGGGCCTCACCGCAGTTGAGGCAACGAGCCTGGGGAGAAGCGCACTCCGACTTAGAGTGACCTTCGCCACCACACAAAGGACAGAGAGAGACAGTCCCGGAGCAGCGGAGGGCACCATGCCCAAACCTCCAGCACTTGTTGCAGAGCCGAGGAGAAGGAATGTACTCCTGGACAGAGCACCTGGCACCAGCAAGAATGACAGAGGGTGGAAGGGTCCTACCATCAAAGGTAATCTTCACAACCCGGAGGGGTTGACGGCGACTACCACGAGGGGGACGAGTAAACGTGTCCACCTGGAGAATAGAATGGCCCTGGGCAGCGAGGATATGCCGAATATCGTCGTGGCAGTCGCGTAGGTCCCGAACACCGGTCGCAACATGGGGCGGGAGCAAAATAGTGCCAACACTGGCATTCAACTGGACGTTCTTCGAGACCCGAACGGGGGTCTCGCCAAGGCAGGATAAGGCAGCCAAGCGGGAAGCAGCATCCTGAGAAGGAGCAGCAACGACACGCGTACCGAGACGAGTGGGGTTAAAAGTAATGGAGGCATCCACGGAATCAATGAGATGTCGATGAAGGGAGAAATCGTCAGGAGGCGCAGAATCAAGAGGGAGGAGATCAAAATATTTGGCCCACGAAGCGGGACCAAACAAGGCTTGATAGGTAGCAGAACTGGAAGGAATCGAGCGAGGGCGGCCGTGACGAGAACGGCGGTGAGAACCCCCAGAGAGAGAGGGGTTAAAAGGCGCAGTAGTAACAACGAGAGAAGGAGCCGCGCCAGGGGACGAGGTAGTCACCACTGGGGGCTTGGGGCTCGACCCAACCACAGAGGAGGGAGGGGAGCCAGGGGAAGGAGTCAGAGAGGCCAAAGGAGGAGCAAGGTCGGGGCCCAATGCAGCGGAGGCTACAGAGCCCGGTCTTCCAATACGGACCGACTCGGGGGCTTGGTCGCCCACCCCACGAGCCTGAGAAGGTAAACCAGAAGAAGCCGAAGCAGGGGTAATCATCTTGACGAAAGAAGAATTCACTCACGAATGTGCCCCCACACCCACCATGGAGCCACAATTAGAGGCAGGACACCCAACAAGAAGCTATCGCCGATCTTGTCGGGGCCTCCTAGGGGTGCGTCGTGAGTATACGCCCCACAAACGCCACCTTAAGAAACCGACAGTCCGTCGAGATCGGGTTCAGTGACGGAGTGGGGATTGACAATAAAAGGTTCCCCTCGCTCTCGACGTCGGGTACTGCAGTTCTACGGGTGCAAGAGTATGCCTCCTCAAGCACCCGGGCGTCAAAATAGAAGAAGTCCAAGGGAAGAACCAGAACGAGCAAAAGGTCGGCAGGAAACGGCAAGCAGATAGGAGAAGAGGGGGGAGAAAAACGAAACAGAAGGAAAAGGAAAAGATGCCCAGCAGAATTGGAGAGGACGGCAGCAGGAGCACAAGGCTAGAAAAGGACAGGACTGTCCCAAGGAGCATCACACTCCGGCAGCCGCCCACCAAGCCCCCACACGGCGACAACGAGCTGAGCGGGGAGGGGGCAGAAATGTGCAATATAAGCCTTATATAAGCCTTCAACAGCAGATATTCATCTGTCTAATAGTGGTTCAGTTACAGACGCTCAAGAGATAGAGCACTGCGGATCTTCAATTTCATCGACATTCATCAACAACAATGTAACATACAAGTCTAGTTCCTCCTCAAGAAGCTACAGCCTGATTCTGGCTGTACTTTAGCTTCCTGCTCTTCCCACATTCAAGCTCTATTTCCAACCGCATTCGAGTGCTACGCACCCTACATTCAAGTTCTGCTCCAAGCTTCGTCTCTGCTATCACAACATTACATTTCCAACAAAAAACTCCTGTACCCAAGACTTAAATAATCAAACCACTAAACTCTCAGTCTTGTCACCCAAACTTGTATACGTAAAAGTACGTTACAGTGTTACAGAAGATCCAAATGTATGAAAGAACTACCAGACCTACAGTACTCTCACTGGACTACTGAACACTTTCAAATCTGGTGGCTCCAAGGCAAGATTAGCAGAGTAAAACTGCCCAGAAAACAAAGGTAATGCTAAACAGTTCCAGTAAAAGTAATGAAAAGAATATATATGCTCTAGAAGACATGACAATAGGTGTCTACAGGTATACTATACTAAATTTAGAAGCGCATATGGATGCGAGATGGAGTTATGAACTTTAAAGTCAATATGAACAGAAGAAATTGGCAATCTAAGAAAAATGATAAGAGAATGGGTAGAATAATGTAATTATCCTAGATACAAAATAATAAAAAGCACCATTGAGGAAAATTATCAACATACTTTATTGTAATGTGGGGCTTATCATATGTCAATTAGACTACTTGTTAAGGTAGTGTAAGCATTTGAGTGTAAAAGTAGAGGCAAGAAAATTATGGAACATGGCGAGCTAGTGCGAGAAGCAGTGATTAAACTAATAATATTCAAGTCATTAAGAATGCTGAATGGCAACAGTTTGCAAGGAAGTCAATATTTTTGTTTGCACACTGTATAATTCACAGAGCACCAAACACTGACGTGTTGGGGTTTGTAGATTACCGAGTAGTGCTTGTTTACTTCTAATGCTAAACAGTGTGGATGACTATAGATTAGTTCAATTATTTAATTTGTGTAACTATTGTTCCCTTGTTAATCCAATGAAAAGGGTAATTAATGAGTAATGAATATCCAAGTACAGAATAAAATGTTTAATAATTTAAGACAAATCTGGCACAATTCCTACCTTTGATGCACAATCAAATCCAATGCCTAAGGCTGCTAGAAGCTCCAAGACAGTGGGATTATCATTGCATTTAACCGCTGTTGAAGAAAATAAAAATGTTATTTGTATCATGCTTTATCCCTAGACCAGAAAAAATATTCCTATATATAAATAGCAAACACTGAATGTACAATTTTCAGTTTCCTATAGATTTTTAATGCTCTAAAAATAACACACATTAATGCGTGCACTTAATGTAATTACTCCAGCCACAAGTCAAATATACAAACGCACCATAAAAGGGATCGACACGTGGCAATTTTAGTTTCCAAATCTTTATCTTTTGTACAATGTCTCCAATGTCCAAAATATAGAATGGGTCCTCTTGTCCCTATAAAAGAAAAAAAATTCATTATTTGGTGTACATAAAATTTATAGCTTTGCAGTTTAACAAAACATTTAGGCAGTCAAACAAAAGGCAAATTTAATCTCATTTTCTTTAAGTTCCACTTTTCTTACAGTATCATTCCATCTAAGATAATCAAATTCCACTTTTATTAACATTTGGTGGGAAATCTATTAAAATATTTTACTATATACACTACTATTATACAAATTCAAATTTGAGTATACTTCAAATAACTCACAGGCTCTCCAACAAACTCCTTAATGACATCCATCACAGTCTCATCATTCAGGATGCGAGTCGATCCGCTGAAGAAATTGCATTCCAGCTTCATTATTGTAGGTTGAAGTAAATTTGTTCTTTAAAATGCTTTAATAGATAAGACCAGCAGTTCTCTTGTGGTTCTTGTAACCTCCACGGAAATGTGTATCAGCCTGTTGAAAAGAATTCTTATGTTACTGATAAAACCCACTTTAACTATGCTTATAAAAAGATTCATATTTATACGTCTACCATCTATACATTAGCCCATCTAGTTCTTTACCACAATGGTGCACTTAACCATGTAAATTTCCATTCCAGATGAAATTCCCTGATGAACAGAGCATTTTCAGTATTGTTCTGCAATATATTCCGAATCCTTATGCCCTTGTTGTCTATGCAGTAAAAACCTGTGTACGGTACTGTACACCAAAAAAAGCTCTAATATTATGTTTGAAAAGATAGATTTTGATCACAGCAGATAAGACTATCCCTATGCCACAATATAAAACATTCATAATCCTTAATTACTATATGATCTGTCTGCATAGTATATACATAATTAAATTTAGGATTCAGGGAGGTCTTATTGTTCATACAGTAATTGCAAGATGGCAGTGAACAAGGAGTACCCCAAGAGTGCAAGGAAGGATAATTAGGAGAAGGCAGAAAGGGTAGCTTTACCATGTCATTTAGGGATAATCGTGTACAAGTGCTCCTAGTTTCCCCTTGATTATGATGGAATAGTTTTGATAGATTTACTTTCAGAGGTTAAGCTAATTTTTTTTCCAATATTTTTTTTAATATAGTGTAACTTGTTGCAGCCAACAGTATAGACCCCAATTTATTGTTACCCGACGTCTTCAGGAAGGTATTCTATAAGTTATATAATAGAGGTGCTGATTACAATGTTTCCATGAAAGGCATGCATTTTTTTTATATTTATAGTACTGTACAGTATTTCATATTAGAAATAAGAGGTTTTGAAAAAAAATATCAGATCATGCAAAATAAAGTACTGTACATGTAAATCAATTACAGTACAAACAAGTGCACTTCGGGCTCACCATAACCTGTGCTACTCGGAACTTTAATTCAACATAGCTGAATCTAAAAAAAACAAGAACCAATTACAAGGTATAGGTGTTCCTAATTAAGAAAAATGGTATAGGAATTCTTACCTAGCCCATGCCAATCTTAATAAAATGCCAACACCAAAATATAAAATCTAAGTTGTAAATAAAAAAATGACAAATGCATTCTGTATATGTAATATAGGTCTAGATATTTATGATAAATGGCCAATTCCTGACTTTTATAAAACAAAAATAATTTCTGGGACTTCATAAAATTAGCCTACAATGGCCATATGCAAGTTAATTTCTAGCAGCAAATTGAAAAGTCTAATTACTGCTTTCATAACCTAATCTGTCTGCATTCTTTACCTTTGTTACGGCCTGCTGAGCCTCAGAATGGAGGCAAGAAGTGGACCTCAGTACCACGGCGGCAAACCGTTAAGTGTAAATCTCCAGTTGCTCCCGTACAGAGTGAAGGTGCACTGGTCCAGACGGGATCCCGAGTATCGTCCCTAAGGAAAAATAGTCTTGGTAATACAGTACTGTAATTGAGACATTAACCTTTAGACTGCCCAAAAACACAGTGGCAAGCAAATGTACTGTTATATTTTGGAGGCTTTTCCCCACAGACTACAAATCTCTACAGTTGAAGCAGCACACAGCCTCTGCTCAGTTTGAAAATATTATAATTTAAAAAATGTCAAACCAACACCAAGCATTATACCTTTGTTGTAAGAGTAAGTTTTTATTTAAAAAAGTTAATTCAATAATTTTATTAGGCAGATATATTGTCTTTAAACTAAGTTTACACAAGATAAACAGACTAGTCACAATAACGTGGTTGAAATACCGACCAAACTAAGCACTAGAAAGTAAAGGGACGATGACGTTTCGGTCCGTCCTGGACCACTCAATCTACTTTAGAATGGTCCAGGAAGGACCAAAACGTCGTCATCCTTTCACTTTCTAGTGTGTGGTTTCGTCAACACAAGATAAATATATATAACAAACATGGTAAACCAGAACCAAAATCAGTCCATTTACTAACTGGGCACCAAAAACCAAGTACATACAGTACAGTATCTCTAAATCAATTTAAAATGCCACTAACATGTCACACACACACACCATGCTACAGTACCTTGAATATTAAAATCAAATTAGTTTGGGGGAGCCTTCAGAGAAGAAGAGATTGCCAAAATAAGAGGGAATACAGACACTATATACATCACACAGACTAAGCATTAAATTTTTTAGATTGTCTCCAAGCTCTCAAAATGTACTCCCCAGAAAGGAGATGAGAGAGATCAAATAACACACATGGAAAATATAGGAGGGCCAGATCCTAAATCTATACAGTAAACAACACACTGTACTGGAGTAAATTATGCAAGAAAAAGCAGACTAGAACTGGTTTAGAGCAAATAACCTTAATTATTTTGACATGGGCAGAGAACACTGAACATCAGAGGTTCACAGCTGTCCAACATACTTCCAGCAACTGTAAGAAATATTGCCGGAACAAAGGTGAACACAGAAAATGATAGTTTTCAAGAAGTGCTGGACCAACTGGGCTGTGGGCCTGCAGGACACTCCAAGCAACAGCATGTTAGACCAGCTCGCACAAATCAAGCCTAGCCCCAGGTTGGGCTTTGAGTAGAACTCCCAAAACCCCATCCATGTTCACACATGCATACATAAAAAAGTGAGAATCCAGTAGGTCTTTGTTAACTTAGTTATGCCTTTTATCAGAACCTTGCCAAATTGCATCCCTACTGAGTCAGGTTTAATGCTTTCTCCAGATAATTATTTTGCAAGATGAAAAAATATCACTTTCAGTACACTGAATCTCGCCTCTATGATGCATACAAATTGTGAATTATGCTACTTCACCCACAATGCCAATTAATACTGGCATTCCACAGGGTACCACATGTGGTCCACCACTTTTTGTTTATGTCTATGACCTACCAAATGCCATGCACCATCTTTAACCAATACAATATTACTTTCTAAATTACAGTACCTATATTCTCAAATGCAAACCCACTTACTCTAATTGACATATTGATTGAAGTTGAATATCGATTGAAAATATCTACACATGGCCAACAACTGAAACTCGCCCCTTAACAAGAAAAGTTTTGCATATTTAGAAATATCAAATTGAAATAATGAACAATATCCAAATTGAGGGCAAAGAATGGAAACTTTTTGACATTCACATTGACAAAAACCTTAACTTCAATTTCCACACACGTCTTTCATATTTTTTTAAATACCAATATAAAAATGTATATAGTACTCTAAAATTCAATATTACATATCTGCCTTGACAAATCAGCACTTTAAATAAAGTGATCCAAGACAGCATGCAGCACCCATACAGTATTTAAATAGTCAAACCTGCTATACATGCACTAAACAAATTGCTTATGTGTACAAGCATTTGTTTAGTAACCTTCAAACTCTGAAGTGCAATACAAATGTTTCCCTTAAACACCGAAGGTTACAAAACCCAAAGACAAGCAGAAATCATTCTTTTGAAATTCCAAGATTACAAAAATATAAAAAATTAATGCCATGAAAATAAAGGGCCTCGAGCCTTTTCCCACTAACCCCCCCCCCATAGAATGGGTGTAGGGCACAACTTTCTAAATTTATGCCTGAAACACTGTACAAGTTAGTGGCTTTATAAAATAAACAAGTAGAGTACAGTATTAGACCCATTAAATAACAGCCAGTCAAATTACACGATTAAGTTAACAGCTAAATTTCCCCAGTTGCCAAACCATCATATAATTATGATGTATTAGCCAACGTTAGGCTGTATTAGGCTTTATGTTATGTTTTAGGTTAGGTTTAGAAATACATTAATTAAAATACATTTGGCAAGACGGCTTGAACATGAAATGTGAATAATAATGTGAAATTATCCAAGTAAGCACTAATACCGATTTATAATTATTATTTTTCATTATGGCACTAAAACAGGCCAACGTGGAAAGACCTTACAATAATACAAGCACACCAAATACTGACCTAGTATGTTAGTTGACCAAATATCATGAACACGCCATACAGGGTATGCGTGCTTCCCCAATAACCGTCAGTAGATAATGGAACAGATCAACTTCTCCAGTTCCATGGCTGGTAATATTATTGCTTCAAACACTTCCACTTAGCAAGTCTTCAATACGAGAATGTTTTTGGCTTCTGAGCGCAAGAAATACCCGGAGTTTGTATCTGCTCTCGAGAAACCTGGTGCAGTTTGATGCCAACGAGACAGTGATCAACCCAGCAGACGTTATGACATTTGATGTCAGCCTCAACCAGTGTGGATCTGGGTACCCCCCACCACACACAAGGGGGGGTGAGCCCGTACCACACGACCTGAGGACCACTTGGGCTAGTAGCACTAACACTAAAACAAGTGTGGTGTAGCTACGGTAAAAGCTTCAAGCACAAGGGAACCACTATGACTGGCGAGGGCGGCGGGAGGCGAGTGAATGAGCATGTGTGGAGCAGCTCCCGACTCGCCGACCAACCAGCAGTTGCCTCACCTCAATATTTACAATTGCCTTTTTTACCCGTCTTCTTCCACATACACTAGCAAAAACATATAAATATACATTTACAATTTATTAAACCCATATACTAAGACTGCTTGCGGGTTAATTCAAACCAAAATTATGTTTACTCAGAAAACTTTACTCGGCAACCCATCCTTCCAAGTAATCAATACACCATACTGGCGCAAACTGGCGCAGGACCTTCCATCCTGCTATTGCTTCTGGATACGGCCTACTTTATATGACCACTATAGGCCTACTGACCAACAATATCTACGTCATCGGTTCTATCGATACCCATGTGTGTGGAACTAACAAGTGTGAACAAACCGCGGACAAAAACCAACAAAGATAACCTAATCTAACCTAGCTGTGTCAACACTTCTAATTGTGCTTGTTGGAGTGGTTCATCAGCTCTTTGGTCCCGCCAGTCGCCACTCTACCTTCGTTCTCACCACTAATACCAATCCAAATTATTTTGTTTCTATGGCTGTAACACTTGTCCACTCCAGCCTCTATTTAAATTTATTTATTATGCACCATAGAAACACATCCTGTAAATTTATGAATCACCGACAAATAGCTCTAAATCTAAATTTATACAGTGTATATATTACACAATATGACGTTCGTTTATAAGTAAATAATGCACTGTAAGTGAACAATATTTTTATTATACACTCCCATACCGTACGCGTACCATGGCGATAATGGAAAAAGGTTACAGAGGTACTTAATGGGATTAGGACCTAATTCCCAAATTAATTTAGCTATAAGCGTTACAACCAGATACGGTAGTTTAATGTGCAAGTCTCTAAGCCGAGCAATTTACATCTATGCTGAGCCAGTGGCACATTTACTAATCATGCACCACTGAATGAAGTACCTACACATTCCTTAAACATTTGCAATCGAATTGTCTGAATTCTGGAATTTGTTCACATTCAATCACATAGTGACGTAATGTGTGAATAGTTGACAATTGACATTTATTCAGATCTGCTTCAACAAGTGATGCAAACTCCCAGATGTACTTGTAGCCGAGGCTAAGCGTAGCAATAGTTATGTATTAGTCTGTTAACTTTAATTTCTATAAAATAAGATTACTGTTTGTGTGTGTGTGTGTGTGTGTGTGTGAGACGCTTTAGGGATAGCCTCACCCATCTTTCATATACGAAGCGTATGTGGGGGTAGGGTAGTGTCATGAGCTACCCCCTGGTCGACCCAGGTGAAATGCTTTAAAAAATGCTATTTTTTTTTTTTTTTTTTTTTTTTTTTTTTGAGATATATACAAGAGTTGTTACATTCTTGTACAGCCACTAGTACGCGTAGCGTTTCGGGCAAGTCCCTGGAATACGATCCCCGCCGCGAAGAATCGTTTTTTCATCCAAGTACGCATTTTACTGTTGCGTTAAACAGAGGCTACAGTTAAGGAATTGCGCCCAGTAAATCCTCCCCGGCCAGGATACGAACCCATGACATAGCGCTCGCGGAACGCCAGGCGAGTGTCTTACCACTACACCACGGAGACTAAACCACAGCTTTTTCATAACTTTCAGAGAAGAAAAGAGAAGAGAAGGATGAGCGGGGGAGCATACCCTGGAAAATATCTGGAGAGGGTTTCGAGAGTTCTACTCTCCGAGCCCGGCCTGGGGCTAGCTAGGCTGGATTAGAGTCGAATTTCGAAGGGACGAGAAGAGACCCGGATGCAGCCGGATACCTCTAGTATTGGATGACCCGTAGTTATGTGGTCCTTCCTGCTTAATAGTATGATAGATGGAATAACTAGAGTGAATTTCACAGTCTCGGGTCTAATAAATTTTATTGCAATTTTTGCAATTTTATGTATATTGCTGCTCAAAGGCAGTCCAAGATGGTAATTAACTCCACGTGCTTTGATTAATTCATTGTTAATGTAAATGCATTTATAAATGTGCAAACATTTATATAGTTTTTAATTAAATTTTTAGCATGACATCCGTCGGTTCTTAAGTCCTACCTGCGTTTCCAATTTTACTAGTTTAATGCAATGACAAATTTACGTTTAAAGTGTACCTATAGTTAGCTCTTACAATTTCAACTAATCCAATGGTTTATCTTAGTAATTCTCATTATCCTGATAGTGGGGCCATTGCACAAATTAGTCGAGTCGGGTTAGGTTTATTACTCTCGATGATTTGGTGGTAAAAATGTTCTCAGATCTTAGAGCCAGACATGTGGAGAGACCCCACTCTAGGAATACTCAAGAGCTTTTAGGAAAAAAACAAAAAATGAAAGATTTAAAATAATTATGAAAAACGTTATCTAATTTAGTGGATTTTTGTGTTTCGGGATACAATCTTGAGATTATCTTGAGATCATTTGGGGGGCTTAGTGTTCCCGCGGCCCGGTCCTCGACCAGACCTCCATCCCCAGGAAACAGCCCGTAGCAGTTGTCTAACTCCCAGGTACATATTTACTGCTAGGTAACAATACTCAAGTTTAAACATATGTCCATATTTGGTAACGCAATGTACACCAGGTGGACCTATTAACAAATTGAAGCAGACAATTTACGGGTTAACTTACGACACAAAGATTAAACTGGTTTTAATTGTTTTGTGAAATCGATACTCGAAGATTAGATAGATATTGTCATGTTGACGAGAGCCTGTGATGACTAAGCTGACTAAATGGAGATATGACTACAACCAATTTTTTTCTAGACTAAAATGTTACATCCCATTAAGATAGGACGGGATTCTAAGACTTGTGAGGAAGGCGTACTTTCACTGGTTACCATACACCAATGACCCGAATATTCACTACTAGCCCATTATTAGTCCATTCCTTATCTGAATGCGACAGCTTATTGTGGCGGCAGTCTACTAGATCGACCATAACGCCCAAAACTACATATACAATCGCAGTTATCTAATCAAGATAACAGATTAAACTTTAAATTGTTATAAAGGCAATCAAAATTGAAACAAGTCTTGACAATTCCTGTTCGGTATTCAGTTCCCTGGTATTGGTTTGTCATTGCCACCTTTGACAAACTATGTCAAAGGAGGCGATGACAGTTTCACAGTTACGGAGAACCACCCCTGCTATAAAAAATATAATATTGAATAATATACATTACTAGATTCTATTTCTTATAAAATAATTATGCCGATCCTCAACCGGTATATTCTGACCAGCATCCGTCGGTAATCTCCAGGAAAATTACGTTACTTACTGGCGGTAGATAGTCAGGTATACGTAAAACTTTTTAAAAGGGGTCCCTAAAATGTAACAAGTCTGTAACTCATCATATTTAAAGTCTTTTCCGTCGTATCTAGAAAAGCGTGTGGTTCATCCTACGAGGCCTCCGTGGTGATAACTATATGCAACTATATTTCGTTGCCCGAAATGCTATGCGTGCTAGTGGCTTTAAAAGATTGTAAAATCAACATTCCTATGTTCTCCCTTAACCCCCAATGTACCTTCTTGTACATAAATAAATAAATGAAATAAAATACAAGTTCATGGCACCAAGTGTGATCTGTCAGAACCAGACTATACTGCTCTAAATGTGTTCCTGGTCATTGATGAGCTTATTTAATATTTATTTATTTATTTATTTTAAAGAATATGCGAGTAGAGCCTGGCATCTAATAATCGTTTTTCAGGCTAAATGACAAAGCTATCCTGAAGTTTTACCCTAGACCTAATATAGTTTTCCGGAAACACACTAATTGGCAATCTTGCCGATTGGCACTGAAAGTTTTATAGTTCATTAATCATATGCCAGCTAATGCCTGCGCTCATCTTCAGTGTAATTCTCATCAGAACAATGGGAGCATCAGAAACAAAATATACGATAGAAGTGCTGTTGTGTGCACGGCAACACTTAGATATTATTGCACTAACGAAACGTGGATAAAAAAAAGTAGAAAACGAGGAACTATTAGCCGAATATTTTATTTAAATTATTTCACACATTAGATGAGGAGTAGAAGCAATGCCAGAAAATGTCAAATGTAGTGTCAAAGATATCAAACTTGAGCCCCACACATTATTAATTTCATTTAATTCTAAGCAAATAATCAAATAATAAGAGATACATGCAGGCCAACAAATTTCGACAAAATGGAAGCAAAAAAGCATATACATGGGATGAAATAATCAAATCCGGGAAAGCCGGGTCGGGGAAAGGATTGATTGATTGATAAAGATTAAGCCACCCAAGAGGTGGCACGGGCATGAATAGCCCGTAAGTGGTGGCCCTTTTGAGCCATTACCAGTATCAAGAGCTGATACTGGAGATCTGTGGAGGCGCGACTGCACCCTGCGTGACGGGAGATGTCTCCCGGACCAAATGGTGACCAAATGGAGCGGGGAAAGGGGTAAATTAATCCAAATGGGCAAAAATTAAAATTGGGGGGGGGGGGGGGGGGGGGTTAATGAAAGATAAAATAAATAAAAGTATAAATTTGCGCTATTTTATATCAAACTAGTTGTGAAAATTTTTGAAAGCCACTAGTATTGTTTCTATTCAAAACTAATGAACCAGAGGGGTAATACAATTTTAACAAATACTGTAGATTACCAACGAAGTTTCCCGACCCCTCCTTGTGGTAGGTCAGTTGTGCTATTGGTGAATAATTTGTCAAATCTGGTTCAATAAAACACTAAATGCTGGATTTTTTTTAAGAATTAGTCCATTGCATCCTGAAACTACATGCTAAGGAACCAACATAGGTACAGTAGATAGGATTTTAGACATCTAACAAGGCAAATAAAATACCCAAATTGATTAACATTTGGGAAAGTTTATCTAGAACAATGATGTTAAAAAGTAAGGACAGTAAAACTATGAAATACCTACTGTAGGTAGGTAAAGACAAATCAAAGGATTTTTCCAGATACTTCAAAGATGGAGGAAAATACTGGGCCATTAACAAATTTAACAAGTCTGGCAACTAA